CATGACTTTCAGCTGTCACAAATAGGTAGGAATTTAAGCAATCCATTAAGCACAACATGATATTTTGTCAAATTGTCACAGGTGATCACCAATAACCACATATTGTAATGTTTAAAAAATGATTTGTCAAGCTTGCACACCATTTTAGCTCTAGGTCTAGTCTATGAGGTGCCTTACTAGAAGGTGACTGGAATGAGGTGCCTACTGAGGTGCAAATTTATGCCCAGGAATATTGACCATCATGAAAATTGATGAAATCAAAATATGCCTTGCTTCTACCAGGGCCTTGCATGGAAATGAAAATGATTTTTGCCTGCAGCAAAAGGTTGGAGAAAAATGTAAAAACATGCCTTGCAAAATTGCAATGAAGGGCACACGGTACACCGGACACCGGACACCATCAGTATTGTGAAAATACAATGATGGGCACATCAGACACTAGACAGACATAAAGCACATTGAGTCAGTCTACAAACTACCTACTACACTACCTACTACACAGGTAACACTTAGACTTCATCTTCATAAGTACCAAAATCCTGGGTTTACCCTGCCTTATCTTGATCTTAATCAATTATGGAGCACTTACTTATACTTAAAGGAAATAGTTCACTTTTTAACATGGGTTTTGAACTGGAATAGCAGTTCCGTAGCTTGGGCTGAGACGAGCATAAATCAGGAGCTTTTACAGCCCAACGATCACCCTAGGCAAAGATATTCTATTTCTCGTCCCGAAAAAGGTGTCTTGCGCTGAGGATGTGTGCCTTGCATATATTTCCATCCAGTATGAAAAGAGCATGGGTCCCGAAAATTCTTCAGAAACTAGACAAATTATCTATGAAAACTCTAGAGAAATTCTCGTACTGATCAATTAGGACATTCAGGGGAACATTATCAGATCGAGCAGATCGCCCAAATGCCGGTGGCTGCGATAATTTCTGTTTCTGTAGAATTTTCGGGACCCATGCTCTTTTCATACTGGATCGCGTGTGCCTTACAGAAACTGAAAAGTTCTTCCTATATCAAAATATAGAAAATAATATTTTGTTATAAAAAGGTTTTATTTTCTTTGCTGATTATTTTGAACATAAAAAATCATAAATCCGTAGCAAAAAAAATAATTTCGTGAAAGTGAACTATTTCCTTTAATTATGCTGATAAAGCACGCAATTAAGAGAGCCCACTTGGTCTCTAGGATCCGGACTTGTCAAGTGTTTGTGTTGGGTAGAGTTAAGTGTTTCAGTCATAAGGGTTTCACAGCCATCATTTCAGAGATGGTAGACCTACATGTGCCAACACAGCAAGCTAATCCCCCTAAACCACCCTGGAAAACAAGACCCCCGATTTCCTTAATTCACAGGCGCCAGGCAGCTTGGCAGACGTACAAGAGGGTGAGGCAGCAATCTGGCAGAAGCTCTACTGGTACACTGGCCGCATATAAGCTTTTCTCATCTGTAAACCGCGAGTTGCGAAATTTTGCCGCCAGATCGCAGTGTGATTACGAATCTAGTCTTATTGACAGGTCAAAGGACAACCCCAAACTGCTCCATTCTTATATAAGAAACAAGAAGACTGGCAGACCAGCGGTTGGTCCCTTGCTTTTGCAATCTGGTCACCATACTGATGATCCCGCAGCTATGGCTGAGCTACTTGCAACATCTTTTGCCTCTGTATTCACCACTGTCACCCCCACTAACCCCTCGCCCCACCAGGCCTTCGACGGGACTCTCAGCCATGTAGAAGTATGTACAGAGAATGTTCGCCATGCTCTCAAAGATCTCGACCCTAACTCTGCCATGGGCCCCGATGGAATACATCCACAGGTATTGAAGGAATGTGCTGATGACCTCGCCTACCCTCTACAGATTATATACACGAGATCACAGAGAGAGGGACGACTACCCTCTTGCTGGAAAAAATCCCTAGTTATACCTATTTTCAAGAAGGGCTCCCGGTTTGATCCACTAAACTATAGACCTATCAGTCTGACGTCTGTTGTGTGCAAAACGATGGAACGCCTGATTTGCACGCAGATACGTAATTACCTGGAAACGAACTCACTGCTGACCTCAAACCAATTCGGTTTCAGGGCTGGCAGAAGTACAATGGACCAGTTACTCCTAGCTTATAACACAGTGTCTAAAAACATGGACCTTGGTGGCGTGACTGACGTCATTCTCTTCGATTTCAGTAAGGCGTTCGATGTCGTCTGCCACGATCTCATGATAACCAAACTGAGATCGATTGGTTTGACAGGTGCTCTCATTGACTGGATACGTTCATTTCTCCAGGGCAGACAGATGCAGGTGTGTGTGAAGGACATGATAAGCCAACCTAGGGTTGTCAGCAGTGGTGTACCGCAGGGCTCTGTCCTTGGGCCCCTGTTGTTCCTGGTTTATATTGACGGCGTAGCAGCACAGCTGAGAAGTGAATATAAAATTTTTGCAGATGACCTGAAACTTTATGCCTGTGTGAAACATGCCCCAGGAACCTCACCAGTGTTATCCTCTGCCCAAGTACAAAAAGACATTGATACACTGCAAACCACAGCAGCATCGTGGTGTCTGAAAATGAACCCAAAGAAATGTGCAGTTCTCCGCTTTGCGAGGCCCCGCGCTAACTTGCCTTCACCGGTGTACTTCCTTGATGGACAGCAAATCCCACATGTAGATTCTCACTCTGATCTTGGTGTTACTGTCGACTCCCAGCTTAAATTTCACGAGCACATTAGGACTGTTGCACACAAGGCTAGCGGTCTGGCCCATAGTTTTCTTAAGTCTACCGTTTGCAGGTCTCGCGCATTTATGTTGTTCTTGCTCACTACTCATATCCGACCTGTTATAGAATACTGTTCATGCTTGTGGCATACAGGTTATCTGAAAGACTTGCGGGTCTTAGAAAATGTTCAGAGGAAGTGGACAAAGCGAGTGGATGGAATGAATGGATTAAGCTATGCAGATCGCCTACAGTCCTTGAACCTGTATTCTGTCCAAGGGAGGCTCATTCGTGCGGACTTGATACAATGTTGGAAGCTGTTTAACGGTAGATCGTGCCTGAGTCCAGATGACCTGTTCGACCGCCCTCCACAGGAGCGGACTAGGGGCCACTGCTTTAGGATTTTCCCCACTCTCACCCACACAGACACTAGAAAGCGCTTTTTCTCTGTCAGATGCATTGCTGTTTGGAACTCACTGCCTGAGGATGCTGTCCGTGCACCTAACATAGCTAGCTTTAAGAAAATGATTGAGGTACATGCACGTAATAGCCTGTTCAGATATGATTGAGGATGAGCAGTGCTGATTTTGTAAGTAGTTATAGGTATGTAGGTTACTTCCTCGTAGCTAAGCGTGTAGAAATGTGACTGTGTTCATCTGACGAGCTTGTGGAAGACGCACAATACCAGTCAAAACTCCCAGGACTAATGGTCAAGAATATCACAACTGGGCTGGCGCGTCTGGCATTCAGGGTTCCTTCCAATTCCTTTCGGTCCTTCCACCTTGCCTTTTCTTTCCGACACAAATGGGAACCCAACCAGGTAAGAGAACCAGGTAAGAGGGTGGGTCCAGGTCATGTGCATGAAGTCAGTAGCGGCGGAACACCTTCAATTAAGAGGGGGGCACTGCCAACTTTTGGTCCCATTCTTTCCATGCAACGCCCATAGGGCTTATGTTAAAATACCAAAATCAAAGAGGGGCACGGACACGGTGCCCCGGTGCCCTCCCCGTTCCCCGTTTGCGTTCCACCGCCTATGCATGAAGTGTTCCCAGTGAATAATGATTGTCGAGTCTAGCATTGAATGAGTCAACGGAAGGCGCATCAACAACAGCCGATGGCTTAGATTTTAGAACTTACCTTGGCAATTATCAGTCACATTCAAAACCAATGTCTGCTGCATATGATGATAATGACCGGGAGGATATGATACTAATTTCACTTGGTACGCCAGCTTCTCGGTTAATGCCTAATGTCAACGTCAGCATGAGCAGCTACTTCAGAAACTGCTTCAGTATGCACAACAAAGCGCTCACTTTCACAACTTTTATGCCTATAAGTATCAAACGGCCATCCATTTCACCAAATTCGTTCGCAACCCGCCCATTCTGCATGAAACCGCCCATAAACAAAATGATTTTAATTTTTTAACAAGCTAGGTCAATTTGATCAGCTGTTAGAAACAAAGTTAATTTTGATGACGTCATAGAAATTTTGTAGACAAGAACCAATTGCAAAAAATATATTTGTTCTGAACAAAAGGTATGGATATAAAATTATAAATGAATATGCAATTTACACATTGAGTAGCTTATATGTTTCGTTATTTATTTATTTTTTATTTCTATCTTTTCAATGCTCTGACTCATGGCGTACTCAAGCATGACGGATACCTCGCACGTATCCGACCGAACAGTCGTTTTTGTTTTGGAATTCAGTTGTTCCGCACAAAAGTAAAACCAGCCACACTAGAAGTGCTTAGACGCTTTGCAAGTCAACAGCATTTTGCATAATTTCATAATAATTACGTATCAAACACTGCAAAACAGTTTGACGTCACTAGACCAAAAACTAGCAGCAGAATCATAAAACAGAGTTGTATCTCTGCTGCGCTAGAATTGTAGCGTTTCAAGCCTATTACTCAGCTATTACCAGCTATTACTATCTTGCCGGGCCTTGATCTTGCCCAGATCTTGCCAATTACCGAGGTCAATGGTCAAGCCAAAAGAGCACCTACCTTGACCTATAAGGAACGTTCAAGCCATGGGAAACGCGAACCATACTATACGCATTACGCAAGGCTGTGGTGACTATGCCAAGGCTTTGTAAGACTATACGGTCCCATTCATTTGCAATTGCTTAATGCTAGTACATGGCTGCCAGCCGCCATGACTTCACCACTAGATTAATTACATTTTTTTACAGCCGAGGGCCGTCCTCTCGCAACACCACTCAACCAGGGGCGGCCGCTCAACATCTTCCCTATCACCTACGCTATACACATTGGATATCGTTTGGAACTGTATTGTACGCTGCATGTTCCACCATACAAAACTCGGTCTCGGCCCCCGACCGAGCCAGGCACGCCAACACAATCAGACCAGCGGGCGCACTCTGCCGTGGGACAAAGTCGTGGTGGTGGTGGAGCGACAGGCCCGCGCCGCACGTCCCACGCACAGAAAGACGAAAAATGGCCTCCACTGGCAGACGTTAGTTCACAACGTCACGGCCTCAGCCAACAAACGCGACCTGATGCGACCCGATACGCTCAAAATCCGCCCGAGCGGCGAGCAATCCCTGCCACCCCTGACCTGGGAGCAGTCACAGAAATGCGCGGCATCAGTCCCGAAAACGTGTCGCAAATCAGTCCTCCGACTCCGCACACAACTATCCCTCTAGAAAAGGCCTTCAGACTAGCAGCAGCTAACGAGCGACAGGGTCGGGAACTTCTACCGAATCCTACCGTAACGAGCGGCAGGGGCGGGAACTTCTACCGGGCCCTACCGGTAATGCGTTGGCTCCAGTTTGTTTGCGAAGACTGGCGAGCGGGACGGCGGGAGGACCGGTTATTGCCGTGGATTTTTGTAACTGTTCCCACCTCCGCGTACAATGAGACCATCATGTGTATCGGTGCTGGGCGGCCCGTATCCCGCGGAGCCGACGCGGCCCAGCGGGACGGCGCCGCCCGCACAGCTCGCACCCCAGCTCTCACACGCTCACCGACACTCTCACTCACACTCTCACTCACACTCACACCGACCGCGGCTGGCGCTCACTCGCTCGGCACACCGTCTCTCACTCACTCCGTCTTCCTCTCGTTATTCGATTGGGACCGGGGCCCGGTGGGGGCCGGTTCGGACTACGTGCCAGGTTGGGACCATGGAGAACTCCTGCAGCTTCAGAGGCCCGGCCGGCCGGCTCACGGCGGCGGCGTAGCGAGGGCTCTAGCCCAGCGACGGGAAGTCGTTCTCGTCGTCCACTTTGGGAGCGTGTTGCTGCCGAGGGGCCGCACGGCCGCGGCCGCGGTAGCCGCCACTGCCGCCGCCGCCGCGGTAGCCGCCGTAGCCACGGTAGCCGCGATCCTCGCCGTCATCGCTCGACTCCTGGCCACGACCGCCCCAGGAGCCTCCGCGGCCGCCGCGGTAGCCGCCCCGGCCGCGGTAGCCGCCCTCCTCGCTGTCGCCGTAGCCGCCGCGACCTCCACGGTAGCCACCACGGCCTCCGCGGTAGCCGCCCTCCTCGTTGTCGCCGTCGCGGAATCCGCCGCGCCCTCCGCGGTAACCGCCGCGGTAGCTTCCTCCTCCCTCCTCGCCGTCACGGAAACCGCCGCGCCCTCCGCGGTAGCCGCCACGGTAGCCTCCGCCCTCCTCGCCGTCACGGAAACCGCCGCGGCCTCCGCGGTAGCCACCACGGTAGCCTCCGCCCTCCTCGCCGTCACGGAAACCACCGCGGCCGCGCCCGCGTCCCCGTCCGCCGCCGCGCCGGCCGCCGTCGGAGAAGGTGAACTCAATGTCCTTAACGAAGTGCTTGGGTCGTCCGTGACGGACCTCTTCCTCCTCTTCCTGTCGGGAAAGGGAGAGGGAAAGTCAGTAAACGGACCCGGCGCACACTGTGACGAGGAGCGTTCAGAAATGATCGGGTAAGTGTTGCACAATACCATCGAGTAATGTGTTTAATTCGCGGAGAAGAAAAAAAGAAATTAACAAACACGTAGTCGTATAGAATCGTTAGGAACGGCGAACCAAGATAAAGGCCAGCACGGGGGGGGGGGAACTAATGAAGAAAAACAAACTAGAAATTGACAAACACAACAATCTTCAGGTACGACGGGTTGGAGCCGAACGACAATATACGTAGCAGAGTGAGTCACTGGGGTCACCCCGTGGCGCAGTTGGTCGCCGGCGGACGGAAGCGACGGTCGGCCGGCCGTGGAAAGCGAGCCATGATAGCGGCGTGCACCGACCGCCGCATTCTGCCCGTTCAGCCATGCACGGACACTGCAGTCGGCAGGCTATCCAAGCTATGTGTCCTAAAATGTGTAACGAACTGTCTGTCTGCTTCTGGTGCATTACATTGTCTGCTTCAACGTGAAATTCTAGGCATAACGATGTTGCAGGCAATGGATTTAAACTTTAAAACGCCATAACTCAAACTTAAAACACCGAGGACAAACGACGAGCGAATATCCTGCCCAAACCATGATACAAATGCACTAACACGTAAACGGCGAACTCAAACACTAAGATTATAAGCTCTTGCATCACTAAACCGGGACGTGTAAAAACGTCCTAACCAGAATCACAGCATATTCCCCTAAGTCCAGCCCGACATCATACTATCCACCCTATCCCTCTCTCACCTAAAATCATCCTATTAACATCATATCCCCTCACATACCTCGTCATCAGCGTCTTCCTCATCATCGCTCTCCTCGTCCTCGCCGCGTTTCTTTTTCAGCTCGTACATGTTCTTCCACTGGGCAGTGTTCTCGCCCTCGCCGGCGCGGCGCAGCTGGAACTGCGGCTTGGAGCGGGGCTCCTGCTGGCGCTTCCACTCGTCAAGCGTCAGCTCCTGCGGGCCCTCCGGCTCGGCCGGCTCGGCGGGCTCCTCGGCCGCGGCGTCGGCCGGCGCGGTCTGCGAGTCGGCGCCGGCGCCGGCGGCCGGGGTCGGGTCGTCTCCCCAGCCGGTGGAGGTGGGCTCCGGGTCGGCCGGCTGCTCGGCGGGCGCCTCCAGCGTGGCAGCCACCTCGTCCTGCACCGTGCCCCAGTTGCCGCGGCCGAAACCGTCGCGCTTGTGCGCCCTCACGCCGCTGGAGATAGGAGAGGGAGGGGTCAGAGACGATAGGCAGCACGGAGACAACATACCGGAGACGAACACTTAACAACACTCCACGTAAACTAAATGCATTACGCATGGTAGGTTTGGCTGTGATATTTCGTACCGCAAAATAGTTCACATTTTATCAACGAGGGAAGACATAAAACTGCAAGAAAACCGCTAAAAATCATTCAAGAAACGTTTTTTTTTATTAAAAAAATAAATGGAAGGATAAATACACCATAGTAAAAGAAAATATTTAAGGCAAAGCCTCACGATACAAATTCAGCGCAATGACACCCACGTCGATTGAGTGAACTGCACTTTTGCAAGGATAAAGCTGAATTGATGAATCAGATGAATCATATGAACAACAGCAGCCACATCCCTGCCGCCACATCCCTATCATCTTCTCTCCCTGTCCATCAACTACGGCCTACCTGCGGTCGCTGCCCGAGTGGCGGTCGAACTCGCGGTACCCTCCGCGGCCACGACCCCGGCCCCGTCCTCCGGGTCCGCCGCGACCGCGTCCACGACCCCGCTCTCCTCCGTCGCCGAACCGCGGCGGGCCGCCCTCCCTGTGGGATACGAGCGGGACGTCAGATGGAGAGGGGGACGGCTACATACACTAGAGGCACGGGAACGACGGATAGCCGGCGGGGCGCCCTCCCTGTGGGATACGAGCGGGACGTCAGATGGAGCGGTGACGGCTACACACACTAGAGGCACGGAAAACACGGACAGCGGCGATCTACCCTCTGTGAGATAGGAGAGGGACGTCAGATGGAGAGGGGGAGACGGCTACATACACTGGCGATCTGCCCTCTGTGAGATAAGAGCGGGACGTCAGATGGGTGGAGAGGACGGAGACGGCTTCGGGGCGGGACGTCATGGAGAGGAAAGGGGAACGGCAACATACACTGGTCATGTGAGCAACTCAGGCCTCGGCAAAGGCACGACAATATTTGTATAAATAGTTCATAATATGCCCACACTCAGAACAGCATCGCAGAGGGGAGGAACGCAAGAAGGTAACTAGTTATAGGACGTAAGTGTTCCGCAATTGGACATCACCCGCTGAATCATTGCGTAATATAATCATAGGAATCAACGCATCAGGCAAAACTACACGACACTGACGACCTATCGAAGCAGAACACTAACGAACGAAAACAAGAACGGTTCGATTAGGAGCTAAAATCAATCGAAAACGTTCCAGTGAAACCAAAATCTACCAAACTTACAGGGTATTTCGAATCAACCCAAGTGTAGACGGCGCCCGTGTCGGGTTATAGCGGCGTAGGTGTCGCTGCTATCGGGTCCTGAGTGAGGTGCGGGTGGCGGGGGCCCCGCAACCCAGTTATCCGTTTCACTTGTTAACCTTTTTTCCTATCCTTTTTCAAACCTTGCCACCAGTGATAAGTTAGGTGCACTATTATACTCGCGGTATTGAGTGACGGAGATTCGATTGTCCGATCAGAGTGGTTTGTTACTATAAAACTTGCATCTCTTATCGTCAAGGAGCGCGTTTCGGTAATATTTGGTTCGGAGGCGGTATTTCATGTGTGATTATATTTCTTATATAAGAAATATGGCTTGATTATGGTTAAAGTTTAGTTGACACGTCGATGTAAAAGATGCGACGCGAGTTTTTGAGTGACACGCTGGCAGGTCACGTGACCTGGCCGAGCTGTGGCGCAGTTTCCGAGCTGCGTGTGCGCTCTTTTCCCGCCCGACCTTCATGAGGGGTGGATGCGTGTGTCCCAGCGCGACGCTGATGAGTGCTCGGCTCGCTCCGGTTGGCCCGGGGACGTGTAGGCCAGTCGATAGCTGTGCGCTTTCCCCCGTGGCTGGAGCCGAGAGCGGTCTCGTGGCCGGGGCGTTTGAGTGGCCGGCCCCTGACGGCCCAGAGTGCGGCGGTGCCGCTGTTGGCGAGTTGCACAGCGGAGACGAGGAACAGCCGGTAGGAACTAGTGTTTATTATGTTCTGCCATTGTCGATATGTTGAATTTAAGAACGCTGTTAACGTAATATGTACAGTTTATCAAAGGTCGACCGTTTCGGAAGGGATTCAGTGTGGACTGTGGTTACTGATGGGAGATTTGGTACTGACCTGTGTACCCCTGTGTGTGCGTGCGCCTCCCACAGTAACAAGGGCAATAAAGGTCCTTCGTCAACGGCTCGTCTTTCGGCGCTCCGCGCTATTCAGCCACGTGGTGGCTGCTACAGTGGCGGCTGTGCCGTCTACACCAAGTAAACTCGAAACGAACACTGTAGCATGCGACTCAACAGAAAATGCATAAGATGTCGGCTAAACACATTGCACAACACAAGACCTTGCAGGATAGGATGGATATTGAGCGTTAGTACAAGGAAAACATTATTAGTATGCAACAAATACGATGTGCAAAGAAAGTGCGTGCATCATGTCTATGAGAAGCAGCTTGCATACATGGGCTCAAACAACTCCGATTAATTGACGGCTATGTCACGGTGATAGGTACTTGATAGGGAATGCCTGATGATGTCAGTATTCAAACCGCTACTAAAGCAAACTGTAAAGTGCGAGTAGCTCAGTCAAACACGCCATGCAAGACGTAACTGAGGTTGTTTGAGGTGAGCAGCGTCTTTCGTCAATCCATATGAATGTCATCGAGTCACTTAAGGCACAAATACGTTCAAAATAAGCCACCGAATCGAGCGACAAAGTACATCAAATAATCATCAGTCCGTGGCTAGGTTGGAAGAGTATTGAAATTCCGGTGGTAAATGACCGGGCTCAAGTCACTCCAGCGCTCGTTAGGTGACTAATGAGGGGGATGGTAAGCATATGGTGGAAGCAGACGCAGCTAGTTGATGGAAAAGCAAGCTGACATGGAGGAAAGGTAACTTGAGCTACAAATATCTAATTCATGCACAAATGCACACATGTAAGTTACCATTAAAAATACTTTAACATCACCTGTTTCCAGTTTTCTTCACGTCCCTTGATTGGCTTTGGAAAGACAGAAGGATAATTAATTAGAATTCAGAAGCTAATTTTACACATTTTCTATCCAACACATCAGAGCATCAGATAGAATATTAATGTCTTATTGAAAAAAGGCAGTAAAATATCCCTCAGTGTTGTATCTAAGATCAGACCTCATCTAATGTCATCTGCCACCAGGCCGCTCACCTGGCGTTGTCGGCCCGGCTGTCGTCCCAGTTGCGCCGGTTGTTGCGCTCCTCGCGGCTCTCGCCGGGCGGGCCGGAGCCGCCCCGTCGTGGTCCGCCTCGGCCACGCACCGCCTCGCTGCCGCCTGACGCCGCTGGAGGAAAAGATGGGGTCACAGGACGCATCGACGACTGGGTCACCATGCTTCAGGATAATGAGGGAAGGGAGAAATGACAGGTATCTGTGGATCTAACTTCATGAATGGGACATCAGACTTAGTTGGTGGAACTCCAAATTTAGGGGAGAGTGGGGTAATTTGGCCGCTTTTTTTAGAAAACGATATAACTTAAAATTGACGACACATTTCTGCATTTTCTCAACGCTGGCAGGTGTCCCATTCATTTTACTTTACTGGACAGTGAACTTGAAATGATAGAGTAATTACTTATATTGAAATTGTGACGTATTACAAAGGTCTGCAAGGCGGCCAAATTGCCCCACTAGAAGGGTTATTTGGCCGGGGGTGTGGGGCAATTTGGCCGGTGTTAGTTTGCGGTCGGGATTTTCTGTTATATTGCGAGTCAGCTTCAGATTCAGCAATGACGTGTGTCCTATGACGCATTTGCCGCATTTTGGAGGTTGGCTCAGGGGTCCCAGGAGTCAAAATAGCCAAATTAGCGGCTCTAGATGCGATCACAGTTTTTTACGAATAACTTTTTACGGAGCGAGCGAAGCGAGCGTAGTCTTTCCTTAGATTAACGGAAATTTCTGAGTATGAGCGGCCGGCCGGCCGGCCGGCCGGCCGGCCGGCCGGCCGTGCGGACGCTTTTGCGAGGCTTATATCTCAGCAACCACTTGACCGATTTACACGGGGTAATTTTTGTAGGGTAGCTTCATTCCTTCTACCAAGCATTGGACTATTCCCGATGCATGTGGGTGACCCCTTATGCACGTGCCACGTGCAAAACGAAGAGGTGTCAGTTTTGTAATTGTTGCAATATCTCGGTAACTACTTGGCCGATTGCGCTGAAAGTTGGCATGTAGGTAGGCACCCACTAGGCACTGCATATCCATGTGCCAGAGTTGGGGTGCTGCTGCACGTGCGCACGTGCAGGGGTCGTTTCCAGATCTCGAGAACGGCTGGACCGATGGCGCTCAAATTTGGTACACGGCTAGGGACCAGTTAGTAGGGTGCCGTGCACAAGTCAGTTGGGACCCATTTTGCACGTGCGCACGTGCAGGGTGCCGCTTCCAGATCTCGAGAACGGCTGGGCCGATTGTGCTCAAATTTGGCACATCGCTAGAGACCGGTTAGTAGGGTGCCGTGCACAAGTCAGTTGGAGGTACCCCCTCGAAATTTCGCACGTGCAAGGCTCACCCTCTCGCTCGCTCCGTTAGTCGCCCCAAAAGGCGCTATACTGGTGAAGTAATCAAGCTAGACCAAAACTTTGAGTACCATCGTAATTCTCTCGTCAGTCCGCATCGAAAGATATATGTGTTGACCTTGAGAAGTCAAGGTCAAAGGTTGACCTCAGGTCACGTTGCATCAGGTCGCTTGAACTCAAGGTCACGTGATTTCAAGGTCATCATGCATACCTATCATTCGATGCACCTTAGCGAGCTGAACAGAATGAGACCATTTGTGCGGCTGTACAATTTTTATGTAAGGATTTATTAGCAAAAAACGTTTGGTAGCCTTTGATGACGTCACATGCTCTTACAGTTGACCAATCGGAAGTAAGGCATCAAAGTAGTCAAAGTTGGTCATGAATCATGTCATTTATGGTACAATTGACCATGAAAACTCGGCCATCCCAGCATAGTGACCATGAGCGCACCGGCCAAGTTGCCCCGCTAGTCCCGGCCAAATTACCCCATATTGCCATTCTGAAAATTTTTGTCTATAAAGTCATCACGGCTTTACGGAACTAGATAAAATTGCTCTTGGAACCGCTGAACACCCCCAAGAATGGCGCTATAATGTCTGAATTCGTTTTTAGCCCAAATACTACATGTTATACAACTTTATAAACAGAAGTAAAAGTTACCGTTTTCTAATGAAATTAACGTTTTATTAATTTTGAATAAAACTACGAGGGGCAAAGTTTTGACATTTGTCCTCCAGTTATTTCTACCCATGACAAATGAATAGAGACTAGATTTATTTCACTCACTTTTATTAGACATCGTACAGGTGGGGGCGGCCAATTTACACCACCGGCCAAATTACCCCACTCTCCCCTACCTACAAAAAAGGTTGCTTAGTCAGTATGGTAGAAATGATGGGATGGATAGGTACTGTGAGCTGGGCAGATTGTTATCATGATACATCCATTACATTCTGAGGGAAAATGAAAAAAATATATGTTCTGAAAAGCATTCTGATTGCACTGCAAGCACATGCAATGATTTATTTCCTTTTACATGGAGAAAATCAAGAAGAGGCAGCTGTGTGAAAGTAAAGCTCCTCTAGACAGGGTTGCAAACTGCCATAACATAGTCCCTTGTCAACTCACCTTGTCCCAAAGTAATGTTTTTTTTCCAGATTGCAAGAATTGTTAGGTTAACTTAATTAGCTATGACAAAATACTGATGAAAACATAAGATGGTTAAAAAAACAGCATTGGATGTGAATTTGTAGTAGTTGAAAATCAAGTAACTTTTCACTACCCAGTGCCCCATGATGCTATGTCCAGGTATTATCATGAAATAGGTACCTATACAAACCAGAGAACAAACCCTACACACCAAGGACAAATCTTTAATAAGGAATAAAAAATTAAAGATCTGAATTGCATACTAGATCTGCATTATGTTAAAAATAGTAATGCATTGAGGTGTAGTGGGAAACACTTTATTAGCTTAAAAATAGACAATAGGTATCCACTTACCATCTTTATCATTTAGAACTACTGTAAACAATTCATGTTATCAAAATCTGACATAGGCAGAAAGACAAGAAGATAGAGTTTAAATGTGTTCATTTCATGACTCAGGACTATCACAGTGTCAGCAAAAATGTAGCCCTGGCTCAGTTCCCATGGGTGCATGGTTAGTGGTTACCAATCCCTTCCTGTTCTCTTCAGCCAAAGCAAATTGCATTGTGCAATAAGTGAAAAGATATCATAACACCTGCATAAAATATAGGTAAAGGTTAAAATTTAGTGATTACATAAATAAGAAAAAATAAGTCAGCATACTTTGGAGCAGAGGTAGGCACATAGGTATCAGCTCAGGCTGAAGAAGCATTAGTGGAAGAGACATCTATATGATATTTTAACAGGCAACAGAACCATTATGTTTTAGCTTTCAGAAACAATGAAATGTCAAGAAATCACAGTAACTGTCAAGATAAAATCCTAAGAAGATTTCAAGGATATTTTTTAATATTCTTACATAAATTGAAATCCTGAATCCAAAAATGATACTTACATGTCTCACAAACATAGGTGGGCACGATCCGTTCCTCCGTTCCTCCGTTCCGGAACGCCGTTACAATTTTTAGGAACGGAGGAACGGACTCGTTACATTTTAAAAAGGGTAACGGACCAAGTAACTTCCGTTACATTGGTTGTTCGTTCCTCCGTTACACTTTACAGTTTAGTCCGTTCCTTCGTTCCTCCGTTACTTTTCGTTGTCCGAGCGGGTTGATCTTTCAGCTAACCCACAGACATTAATGCAGCAGCGGAATAGTGGATTATTGAGCAGCCCTGACTTGACGAAGGAAGATGGCCTCAGTGTACTGGCCTTCCGAAATGAGCCGGCGTTGCCGTTTGTGTTCGCAAAGTTCAACACGGGCGCCCCTTCAAGCGCCTCAGTAGAGCGCATGTTCTCAATGGGAAAAGATGTGCTACGTGCAAAAAGGGCTACCCTCTCAAAAGTGGCAGCGGAACATCTTCAATTTCTTTCCATGCAACGCACATAGGGCTAATGTTAAAATGCCAAAATCAAAGGGAGGCACGGTGCACCGGTGTCCCTCCGTTCCACCGCCTATGCTCTCAGATGCCAACCCGGAACGTCTAGTGTTCGTGAAGGGCAACCGGCATCTGGCCGGGGACAAGTGATGCGCATCAGTACCACCAGACGTTCCAACTTCCAAGGTTTAGTGCCCAATCAGTGCCCGCTGTCTTGGTAGATTTGGTGGGCATTCCGCTTTCTCGGTATGTTTAGTTTGTGTCAGAATGGTCTAAAAAATGTGTGAAATACACAACATTTTAACGTTTTTTATTTTGCTGTAACGGAGTAACGGACTAATGAACTTCCGTTACATTATATGCAGAGGAACGGAGGAACGAGTAACGGAAGTCACGTTTTGAAGGAACGAAGGAACGAGTAACGAAGTTACAATTTTGGGGAACGATGCCCACCTATGCTCACAAATAAAAGAAAAAAAGATAATCAAACCTTACCCACAACCTACTACAACCTAACAACCTAACAACATAACAACCAACAACCTAAAAACTAAAACCTACAAACCTACAACCTAACCTAACCTAAAATCTAAAATTTCTGCTGTTGCATACCTATTTGTATCATAAGCGTCACAATTGTAGTTTGGACCTTATGGCTTATTTTGACAATATACTGAAAATCACTGCTGAATGCATGATTATAAAAATATCCAAAAGCGGCATCAGTATCAAAATTGTGAGGACAACCCTATTTGTAGGTATTTAATGTTGCAAGTTTTCAATGCCATTTGCGGTTTCAACGCGAGCGGCAAACACAATCGCATTGTGAAAAGCAAGAATAATGGTTGGGTTATTGCACTTAACATACCTTGGCGTTGATCTGTTTTAGGGACATTTTCCTTTGCTGGTGGCTTCTTGGTGCCCTTCTCTGAAGAAGCTTTGGCACTTTTATTTTCCTTGCCGGGCACCTTAGCCTTTTTCTCTTCTTTTTCTTTTTTCACATTTTCCAATGTTTCAAACGGATCCGTCTCATCTTCTAAAAAGATGGAATACTTGTTGGTGACTCCTATGCCATAGGAGTTCTCCATTGTCCCTTCCCGGCCGCTTCCCCGAACCAATTCCCCCTTTACCACATGTAGGCCTCCCAATCCAAAATGGCGCCGCACAGTAACAGCACCAGCATGATTCCCAACGATTTACAATAACAAACTGCTTGATCAGATATGGTAGCAAAAGGGTAATTATTTGATGACGTCATTACCCATTCCATAAATCAAGATCTCGAACAAAATGCAATCACATTGAAATTAAAACAGCATGCTTGGTCTAAATAAATCATTTTTTCATTATTTACTCATTTTTACTGCCATGAGTCGATAACTGAAAAGATCCAAGAGATAAAGTTACGCCTTTGAGTTCATGGTGGAAGGTTTCCACAGCTTCCATATGCATTATCAACAGACGCGGATTACGCACTACTAAAGAGCCAAAGTTTTTGGATAAGAGCCAAGATTAGGCCAAGTTCTAGACCAGATAGTTTTGGGATTTCAGCCAAGATAATGCCGTAACAGCCTAGCAAGTTGAGCGGGGCCAGCGGGGCGATGAGTAAGATGGGTAAGATGGGTGCCCGTTCGATCGCGCACTATCGGATTGAACCGGTAGAACATGGATGCTGAAGCTACCGTTGGACATCAAAGCCTGGCCGGATAGCACCTGGCCCGCCCATTACCCATACCCAACTGCCTTCAAGTGGCTGCGGGCTGCGGCTGGCTGCTCTCTTGTCCCTTCAACCGGCAATTCATCGGCCATCGGCCAGGAATCGGTGGTACATACCCGCGACTCGAATAAGGAAGGGCCCGTTTTGCCTTAATTGGCCCTGAGAGAAAAGTTGACTAGCCTCGCGGATAGTGTGGAAAAACGAGCGTGTGCGCCTTTAGGAGACGCAGCGACTGGTACATAATTTGAAGGTCTCAGGTTAACTGGTGACCTGGCTCTGAGCCTGAGGTCAGGTCATATGTTCCGGGTTAAGGGTTTGGCTGTGTCGTCTCAGTCTGTGGATAACTTTGCCGAAAATGGTCGCGCAGAGCTGCGATTTGAGCGACATCGTGTTCGCCATAGGTGCATCGAATGATATAGGTACCTACCTACTCCTTGTTGGGTGAGGTCAACTTAGGATGTTGACCTCAGGTCAAGGTCAGGTCACTGCATCTCAGGTCATGATGCTGGTGAAGGTCAGGTCAATGCATATCATTCGATTTGCAGGCTTTTCCCAGCTTAGTCCCATGGTGGCTTTCCCGACTCGTTAGCTCAATGTCATCGAGAGTTTGGTATCACGAAAAACTTATGAATAGGGCGCCATGGCGTCACTAAGGTCAACAACGTACCTAAAGGTTAAGTAGGTATCGGACCTTCCAAGGAGTACCTATATGATATCATGTCGTGCTTGAGACTTTGAGAGGTCTTCGATCATTTCGGCCCCCAAATAGCAGTTCAGATAATTCCCCGTTGACTTGCCTATAGGGCATGATAAGGTCACACCGACCTGACCTCAGACATACCTTAGAAAATATCCGAGATATATCTATCAGTTGTGAGAGCTCAGGAATTTACAAGTGCTGCAAGTTCCAAGTTTCATATCCCTGTAAAAGATCTTCTGGTAGGTACTGAGGGCGTTGAGAGAAGTTGCGGCATTGACCGTGCATACGTTCAGACGTGAAAATACGGTTGGTGTCAGAAGACTTGGCATGAGTGAATCAAAGGTCAGGTGCGTCAAATTGTATATCGCCATCGAGTTTCGAGTAATCGCGAATATAGGTACGTCGTGGTGGCAACCGCCCTTCCCTCCTCCCCCCCCCCCCCACACACCTTCCCAGCCGACAAGGGTTGAGCACATGCCGGTTCCCAATTAAATACTTAGGAATACATAACTCTTATTTCCATAGGCGGCGGAACGGGGAGGGCACCGGGGCACCGTGCCCCCCTTTGATTTTGGCATTTTAACATTAGCCCTATGGGCGTTGCATGGAAAGAATGGGACCAAAAGTCGGCAGTGCCCCCCCCCCCCTTTATTGAAGGTGTTCCACCGCTACTGCTTATTTCTAGAAACGCCACTAAATCCATCCCGCAACGTAGTTAGCTAATAAACCCGGAGTTGGAACGGAAACAGCCGTGCACTGCGCCGACTTAATCTGGTGCCCGATCCCGACTCTGAAAATGAAATCCTAGTTGCAGCTTGTAGAGACATTTCGTTCCATCAGAGAGGTCTATTTCCCACGTCCAGCACCCGGTGTGGCACGTTATGTATCTCGGCGCCACCTCGATGTCGACCTGGGAAGTACCTATCGGTCGTCTCCGGTGGCATACTCCCATGGCGCCGCTCAGGGGCGCCGCGGCTGGCCTTGTGCCTCTCACCCCTGCTCCGGCCGGCGCCGTTCCCAGTAATTATCCAACAGCCGACGACGAGCGTCGGACGGCCCATTTGCCGCCGATCTCGGCAGGCAGTGCTGGCGGTAATCGGCGCCATGCATTGAGGCGGAGTCACGCCCGGCCTCAGCCTACATTGTCTGGCCTCTGCACGTCAACAGACAGTGCCGTCCCGATCACTTGTTGACGCCGTATCGGCGCGGAAGTCCGCAGAAAAAGCACCTACGCTGTCGAATTGAACCAGGTCGGGCAGTGGCGGCGGAAGCAGGGGGGCAAGGGGGGCAGCTGCACCCTAAAGCTATGGAAAGGGGCGCCGCAGGAAGTTAAGAGGTGCGGCAGCCATAAAGCTGAGCAGCGCGACACCGCAACTGATAAAGGCACTTGTGACACGAAGAGGGTGGCAATGACGTGGGAAAAGTATCTTTTGATATGCTGAAGAGTGGAGGGCATCCTTATCTGAAACAAAGGCAGATGCTGCCGGCCCTGTCGAATATAATCTTGCCAGGCGATAAAGGCTAGGAGGGCGCAGCCACTCGAGAAGCGCGCCATGCGGAAGAGGGGCGCCTGCATGCGAAAGAGGGGCGCCTGTGTGTGGGACGAAAAAGAAACATTTATGGAGACGTCTTTGAAGGCGATAGCCTCCGAACGCCAACACGAACATATGAGGGCTTATAGCGTTGCAGGCTCCATGCGACAAAAAGGGGCGCCTGATGGCCGATATGCGAGAGGAAATTAGTTTGTGTAACATTTATCGGGGGCGGTTTGCCGTTTACAACATATGAATGTTAAGGGAGGTCCGAGATTGGGGCCTGTAAAATTGCACTGTCCGTATGGGCGGTTACACCCCTAGTGCTAGGGCGTATTTTGCGTTTTTTTTTTTTTTTACTGGGGAGATGATTATGACCAGGAATAGCACTCTGCAAACTTCTATGGGCGCCTGTATAGGGGCGAAACTGATTTTCCAGTGCAGGGACGGCCATCGGCATTGTGGGGCGGCATTCATTCCACTGGGGCATCTGCCAGTGTTGAAGGGCGGTATTCATTTCAATGGGGCGCCCGTTGGTGTTGATGGGCGACATGTATCACCTGGGGCGCCTATCGGAGATTGGGGCGGCATTAATTTCGCTGAGGCGCCTATCGGCGTTGACGGGTGGTATTTATTCATCCGGGGCGCTTATCGGTGGTATAGGCCGGCATTCGCTTCACTGAGGTGCCTATCGGTGTTTTAAGGCGGCAGTACATCCACTGGTGTCTGGGGCGCCTACCGGCGTCGAAAGGCGACATTCATAATTCATTTCACTGGGAGGCATATTGGTGTTGATGTGTAACATTCATTCTCCTGGGGCGCCCGGCAATGAGGGGGCGGCATTTATTCCCTTCCCCTGGGATGGGCCCCTATCGGTGTGGAGGCGTCGCCGTCGTATTAGTTTGAAATGGGGGCACCTCTGGGTGGTAATAGAGCATATTTACGTCTGGACAACGAGTTGCGTTGGAGAGGCCGGAAATAGTGGCGATTTCAGGACCGCAAGAATGGACCGTCATTGGGATGATCCTTTCTCAAATCGTGCACTGTTTTCGGCCGGAATTTAATAGTTACTACAAAATATTTTGTAATTACGTTTCCACCAAGAATGAATGCCATCAGGGCTAAATTTTTACTACTTTTGCATTTTGTCCAGAAGTATATAGTGCTGTTATATTGCAGTTTTAGCGCGTTTGTTACAAAATATGAAGCGAATAAGCGTCAGTGTAGTAATTCATCAGTGCCAGAAGTTAACTTGAGGGAAGCTATGCTAATTGCTCTTGTCCATCCACTAGAAGTTATTAAATATTTTGCTTTGTGTATTCCAAAAGGAGAGGGAACTATTTTATTTGTGCCTTCAGGCTTCATGTCAGAATTGAAGGTGGATCATTAAATTTTCAAGGCAGTTTACAAACAAGCATTTGGTCTATCTCGTATATAAGCAGTGGCTAAGAAGAAAAGTCAATCCTGAAGTTCAGTCATCGTACCTCAACTTGGCAGCAAGATCCCCAAGGGCAGAGGATATATTGTATACCTGTCCTGTAAATCAAAGCATTTTTGTGCCTGCAAAGGCTTAAGTTCTTTGTGGTGTGTTCGGAGTGAGGCTATATGGCCGTTTTTGTTGTATGTTTATGTGGAGATTGAATATAACTGTGACCCTGTACTTGTTTGTATACTTACTATGGTCAAACAGGGAACAGCACATTCACATAACATACTCACCTAGCACCTAACTCATAGCTGTACCCTGCAAGTGCAGGCAGCAGGATCTGTACTTGTTCATGTCTCGAGCATTCACAAAGCACTAAAGTAGCTTAGTAATCATTTCCCACATTTTCTGAGCATCTAACATGACATACAGCAGTGCAGAGCAGCTTCAGAGAAGAAACACATTAAATGCACAGACTGTGCAGTTCCAAAATCAATAAATGTCATAAAAACCTGTACCTACCTATGTGTACCTATAGCTTTAATGCTTGTGATCCTTTTCCTGATAATCGCATTGTAAATTTCTGTTCACTGTGTCCCCGCTTGCCCTTAGCCTCCGAACATCCGATTTTCACGATATTCACCACCACAGATGGCCGGCCGGACCACCATTTTCTTTTCAAGATTAATTGTACAAGAATATAGTTTCCATCAATGATAGCCGTCGTTCGGGGTACACGAAATATCTTAACAACTAACCTCTATCTCTTACCACCATCAATTGACCCATTTCCACGTAGTCGGCATACTTCTCCTGATGTGACCTTCCTCTGCACCTTCATGTTTACGATTAAAAATGGGTGTGGGATCGACCAAGGATCGACTACCCTGGGCCGCCTCTCAAATAGCCTGGGGCGTTGAAAAGCCGGGTTGCCTCTGATACGAGACATACTAAGCATCATACCAATATAGCAACATCATGTTTCTCGATGTTCTCAAAGTGGTATAGTGATGGCCATTAATGTGAAAAAATAGGTGTTAAGAAACTTTTGGGACACCCTGTACCTACCTATACTGTTTTCCTCGCCGCGCCCTTTATTTATGTATATCGACACTCAGACGGAAAAGCCATGTAGGTATTGATGTAAAGCTCCGAAAGAAATAATGAAATAATAATGGGTAAAGCGGCTGGAAGAGCATAAGATGATTTTGCCGTTTCATGCAATCCCGTTCGTTCACATTATTTCATAAATATCGTTTCCTAATCAGGTAACATCAATCTGCTGACTGCGCATAGCCCTTTCACGGATTGAAATCACCCAGATCGTTCAGTTATAGGCATGAAATATAAAAAGAAGACAATTATGCCGGGATTTCGCATCAAAACTATTGGCTACAATTTGTTTCAATTTTCTAATCCACATGTATTGTAAATGGCAAAAGCGTGAATACGACCAAAGGTCCCCAGACGGCAGACGCTCAAGCTCTGAATGAAGCGTCTGGCCTTTTCATGTATGAAGCCCTTGGAACGAAAATGTGTCGAGTAGCTCAGTGCCGCATATGACCAGACCACGTCGCAGTTGATGTTGCGCCGGGATGAGCTGCTCTGGCACACCTCCAAACTGCCAGTCCTCCATTTAGCTATCGGAGAGCCGACAATCTCCCCCAACTAGCAGTGCCAAGTCGCGCCCGCCGCCCAGCGTCCACTCGGAGTCCTCGCCCGCAGGGCCTGCTACTATCTAGTTTTTATACGCCCGTCTTGGTTTTTATATCCTCATATTTTAAATCTTCCCAGTTTTTTTTTTGTATCAAATTCCAGTTCTAACCGATGGATTTGTATGCTGAGTTTGAGCAGCCCATCAGAGACCGGTAGTGGGGCCCACAAGCGAGTTTTCTCAGGGAGCACCTCCTCCAGTTTCCTCTCCCACCGACACCCCAGCTCCCCACCTCGCCGTGCGGTGTCCGTGAATCCTCGACTCTCCGCCGAGGCCGTCTGCCCGAGGAAGTGCCGACCCGTCGGCCGACCGGTGTGGGGTCGCTCGGGGGCCGTCGCCAGCGGCGCTGCGGCGCGAGGGCACCAGGCGATCGGGGCCGGTCGGAGGCGTCAGTGGAGAGGTGGAACCGGAGCCGGACGGGGCGCAGCGACTGGCAGAGCGCGCGTGGCGTCATTAGCACCATGTCGGCTGCCGTCGTCAAACAGGTGAGCACGCTGCAGCCGGACGACGGCGGCGCTCGGGGCTCACATCGTCCGTCTGTTTCTACGCCTTTGTCCACAGGCTACGCTCTCTATCTATAGAGAAAAGTGTGTGCTTTGTCCAATCATGTCTATATCAATTATCCATGTCGTTGTCTGTTTACCGCGTGGCTTCGAGCGCTCTGGCAGCTTCGAGAGTCGCTTTAGAAATTTTCGAACAGGAAAATCTCGCGGATTTTGATGTCTCGTCTCTCGATCATGAACAAAACCCGTTTACCTGCCTCTTGCGACTTCTGCGAATTGCGAATGCATGCCTGACAGCTACTGAAACCATCTTATATGGCCTACTTATCACTATATCGTAAATTACTGTTACGGTTACTATGTCGTAAATAATCGCCTTTTGCCACATAATGGTACGATTATTGATGAGTTTATGCAATAATTCAAACATGTTTTTAATTCGGGCATTTCTGGTTAAAACGGTTGAAAGTTTTTGACCAAATTAGGGAGAACATGAGATACCTATCCAAATAAAAGTTGTTCTAATGGGGCAACATATCGTAATCATACAGTGAGAGCTTCCGATGACAGAAGTTTCACTTTCGGGAAACCATAGGTATAGGTATTGACTAGAGCTCAGGCCTCAGATATGAATTGTTGAAGCCGTGACATAAAAGGTACCTGCATTTACGCGAGTTACTAGCTGTAAGTAATCCAGACTCCAGAACGCTATCCAAGTTCATTGCTGCCGATCTGCATAGCATCTTCATTCTTCGTGTTCCTCAAATCAAATGATAACGAACTGCGAGTTTTGGATGTTGTGTCTATATTGCCGTGTTAGCTCTGACTTCTGAGTTCTCACCCGTACGAGGTACGGCCTTACCTATGCACATATTTTATGTAGCATTTATTCAAAGAGCCAGAGTTCATACAAGCTACAGCAAAATTAATCGACACCCAATTGAAAGCGAAAGTGAGTACATCTAAATGTGACTGAGATGTATCGTCGGTATACCTATCCTGCGTATACCTATCTCTTTATTTAACGTTTTTATTAAAGGAAAAGGGCCACCTTCGTGAAATATGAAGATATCGTTGTTTTTCATTTTGACATTATTATTTTTCATTTTCTTTTTAAAACTGGTGCCAGAATTGCACAATTCGCTAAAAAGTATTTAAAACTATTTAACATATTGGTACTATGTTGATACTCTCTACGGCACCTACTGTATGATGGCATAGCGATGACGTCACACTCAAGCCAATCAGCGTTCAGAAGACAGACTCGTCGGATTGTGTCAGATAAGCTGATTGGTTAAAGCTGAGCTGGTTGGAGCTGATTGGTAAAAAACCAAAGCCTCGCCGCGGGTGGCTGTATTGTCGGATAAGAACGCATTCCTTGGATAAGGACGCATTCCTGGCGGCTGGCGTATTTTCTTTTAAAATTGCCGATAACTACGAATGTAGGCCGAAATCGGCCGTAAGGAGGTTGACAGCTAGGTTTTCGGACACGGGCTACAAGATGGCTATCTCAGTTTCAATCCCCATGTTAAAGGTGGCCCTTTTCCTTTAAAAACGAGTGAAGTTTAAGAATAATATATCTCATTCAATTTCTCCGTATTTTTTCGACCTCCACGAGCTGCGTGATCATATATGAGATACACGATGCACAAGTTCGATTCATTGCGATTGTCAGCAAGTGACCATTAAATGGTCTAGTGGCACTGTCTGCGTGGTGGGCGTTCCCACAATTTTGTATAAATGAACACGTTTTCCTCGTTCGAACTCAGAAGTAAAAAGTCATACCGGTGGCCAAAAGGCCCTAACTTGAATTATGGGAGTGCTTCTTAGCTTATAATGATACTTAAGGTACTGCTGGAAGTGGAGCTTAAAGGGACCCTCCCACCTTAACATTAGATTTGAGTTGAGATAGCCAAAATGGGGTCCCTGGCTCACAATTACCGGTTTCGGCACTCACAACATCGAGAAATGCCTTAAATCGGAAATATTGAATTTCAAAATTGCAGCATTTTGATTCAGAGGGGCTAATGCTTAGGAATACCCCTCTGAATGTGTGACGTCAGCGCAGATATCTAACGATTTTTAAATGTTTGACTAAAATGTTTTGTAGCACGCGGTGGTATATGCTATTTGCGCGCAACATCTGCCGCAAACGCCGCACTTCTAAAATAAAGTCGCTAGAAACAGCGGAGATCCCAAAAAAAGTAAACAAAAGTAAAAGTCAAATATCTTGAAAACCGGTGAATATTTTTCGGTGAAATTTGGTAGGTAGATATTCGTTTTCGCTCTTTCTGAACCGAGCGACATCACTTTCATGCCAATTCATTAACTTTTTTGAAGGTGGGAGGGTCCCTTTAAGGTGTTAAAGGCTCTCGCATGGCCATTATCGAATGAAAGAGAATTCAGACGAAAAGAGTAGCAAATGTAGTATATGCATTATGTACGCGATCATATACCTTATACACGAATGACGGAGCGGTTGTCCTGTCGTTCGCATGATATTGCCTTTTGCAATAAAGCCCTGTGCAATAAAGTGTCGTCGCAATGAGGCTACACAATGCATTGCACATACAAGGCCATAGGCACTTAGTTAGACCGGTCTGACACGCTAAACCAGTCTGAATCTCCGAATTACAACTTACAAGGGAATATTTAAATCAAAGTAAAAGCGGTTTATCATGGGAAATTCAAATCGCGTGTGATGACTTATGTACAACCGTACTGGGCCACTAAAAATGATCTTGTTTTGGAAACATATTTAAGCTTACATATGTAGACCCATAGGCCCTAGACATTGCATATGCAGAGATGATTAGCTGTGAGTTCAGAGTTTATACAGCGTCTTTGTTGTCTGATAATCACACCAAGTCACCATCCTCTTTAAACATTCCAGCATGGGGCAACTTTTAAGCCCGGATCACATGGGTATCCTCAAGGTATCAGCTCCAGGTCACATGAGTGCCTATCAGGTCACCTACATTCATTCATGTTGACCAAGTTCATGTTGGGAGGGAGGCATCTCCGCTATAGGCGGGACCCTGTTGACCGCCGCGTGTGGCCACGGCACGACCGATTGCCTCACGCTCGTCAGCTGATCACGACTTGTGTGACGTCACCAGCCGTCACGCCCCGTCACTCCGTCACGGCTGGCCGTCACGGTCTCGCGTGACGGCCGCCACTTGCGGTGTGACGCGTTGAGTAACGAGAGGTGTAACGCGAGTGTGACGCCGGGCGCCGTTATGTGACAGAGCCCGGTACCGTGATGCAAACCGCGCCCCGAGATAAGCCGTGAAACTGTAACGCTGGTAATTCCCATTGTGAACAGGTGATGCCGGGAAGATAAACGGGAATCCTTCAAAGCAGACCGGTCTTATTACGTTTATAGCACATCAAAAGCCACATATGGGATCTTCTTATGCACCATGTAAATTATGCATGCATGAGAAAGCACCGAGAGAAAGAGACGTCATTCTAAACTTATATCACATTGAGTTTAGAGTCATAATTTATGAGTGTTCATTACTTAATGTTAAAGTATCTACCAAGTAGGTACCAAGGGCGTCTTTGATGTAACGTAGACAGGCGTATAGATCCGTCATCTAGCAGCGCTTAAGTCACGGTCAGGATGTGACGTATGTAGATTCTCACTGCCTGCGCGAATCTCAGGCACGGTTGGGGTTACGTCAACGTGTCTTTTCCAGACGAGCGAGCCCTCATGGCGTGTGTTCCCACTTGAGTGACATAACCCACCACGGTTCGAAATCGCTGCAATCGCCATGCTGCGCAAAACGAATCGCGGAGCAAATATTGTGCAGTGCTTTACTTTCACTTGTGGCCGTCTGGGAGGGGATTGGGGAGCCACATCATGCCCTCTTCCGCAAATATGTTGAGCGTTGAGATTGCTGCGTGACGTCATCAACAAGAGAGGTGTTGCAGAGATGAAAGGAGAGAAATACCGAACACGAATGCCAGTGTTAACATGGGCTTTAGCAGGGAAACCGTATAGACTTTTTTGTGGTGCATGGGTGAGCAAGCGGATTGATAAATAAGTAGGTTACCTACCGGTTTACAAATGCAAATGCAACATGCAATATCTATATAAACTATATACCTAACTAGACTAGAATCGCAACAAAAGTAAATAAATGGCGAGCATTTATCGATGCTATCTTTGTCACTATTTTTTGTCGCAAGTGTTTTCGTTGATGATCCGGCGTGCACGAGTCGCGACATTACGGTGCCCCAGTGTCGGTCACAGGTCAGAGGTCATCAGATGTCATCACGGGGATTGGGGAGAGGTCAAAGGTGAAACGTCGGCTGGTGAAGTCACACGCCTGTCACGTAGTTCGCCCTCTTTTTTTTTGTTGCAAATGTTTTCTGTGCTCAGTCGAGCAATATATTGTTCGATTAAGTTTACTTCCTGGAGCACGCACTTACTTGTAAGTACATACATAGGTATGTCAGCCATAGGTATACCTAAGTAGTTTGAGAAAAGCTGCTTTTAAATGGCCTCCTTACAATGAAATGCCAAATGCTAACTGTGGAAATAATTATTGAAGATTTCGACTATCTGTAAGAATCTTGGTTTCAACCACAGGGATCATTATCAAAATATGCCAGATAAAACTTTAGTTATACCAGGGCTTCAGTAAGGGCTGAAAGACGCGGAGTGAAAGACGCTTTGGGAGGACAGAAAACATATATTGAGGAAGCTTATCACGGAACAATTGGAGATGAGAGAGGTCATCCCGATATAGCGTAAGTGCCTATGGTACCTATAGGTACCTATACTGTTTGTATGGCATAGATATACGTATACCAACTGGGTTCACTTTCTTACCTATCTACCTCATATAGGTAGGTACAGTCGTGTACAGGTTGATGGTCCTCTACTCTTTATCCACGGGGTTCCTATGGCTCATCATTGGCAGCAGCCGCCTGGTACCGGTAGGCTGTGCCGCATGACCCGAAAGTTATGCGGC